CTTGGTACTCGCTGCTGGCGCCGCTGCCTAGGCTGGACAAGGGGTTGCTCGCGTTGTTCGCGTTGTTGTTCGCCGCCGAGCTGTTGTTGTTGTTCGTGCTGGACGTGGTGCTGGCCGTGATGCTGTCCGGCGTCGCGTCCTTCGGTGGTGTCGGCGGGAACGAGAATAAGTGGTGGCCACCGGCGCCACCGTGGCTGGATAGGCTACCGGTGCTAGAAGGTAGCGAGCCTAGGGGACTTTGGGGCTTGTCGTCGGCTACGCCACCCCCGCCGGAACCGGCCGTCGTTGGGAACCCCCATGGGGTCTTCGTGGTGTCCGTGCCGCTGCCGGGGAGCCAAGGGTGCAGCACCGAACTGTGGAAGTGCGGACGACAGACCTGGCTCACCGGCCCGCTCGTCACGCCGCTGCTAGACATCCTTGCTGGAACAACGATAGGGCACATGGTGAACGGATTGTAAAGACGTTGCCACTCTGGGGAGGAGTCAGTTGGGGAGTTGCGCGGTTCTTTGATCCCTTGCACTATGAGTTCTTTGTGAACTGGGATCGATGTACTTTGTTATTAACGCTAAAACTACCGAATTAGAAACACATTCGTAACTTAAGTACTTGGAAAATATACAGTCTGGAATGGATCAACTTCATCCGTCCAGTAGTTTTAGTGTTAATAATTTATTGGAAATAAGGGAAAATTCCTTATTCTATGTCAACGTGTGCTGTAAGTATGTAATCATTGATGACAGGAATGATATGTCATTTGCATTCAAACGGGGAGGATTTCGAACGGAGCTTGAGAAGTATGAATATTACTGAATTCTTTTGAATTTAAGTTAAATGTTATTCCTCTGTAATCAATTTTTATATTTTATTTCTTGCGATATACTTTATTATTATAAAATTATCGTTGTTACGTAGCAGAAAATAAATATGAAAAATATGAATGCATGCAAAATCTCTGTGAAGATTCCACTAAGAACAATTGCAAATGTAAATATATGAAAATCTGAATAAGATCCAGCCATCTCACCCAAAAGTACGTTAAATATAGTAGACGTGTAAGGTAGACCAAGCTGAATCGGAAGGAAATTAGAATCTGTTCTACATTTGTTATACTATATTCGTCACTTCTTGTTTCTTATTCGTTGTAGAAAGATTTCAAAATTCTTTTCTACTTTCTACTATTAATAATCAAGTATTTTTATTTGTTTACTATCGAATAAAAGGTGATCCGGTTCAACTCGATCTACCCTAACGCGGTTGACCCCTTGCACGGCTATTTAGCCGGGCAAATCCAAGCCATAATTGTAGCGACCGACGCTGGCCAAAGTGGCAGAGGAAAGCCACAGAAGGGGTAGAGAATGACGCTTTTAGACCACAAGTATCACTCGTGACATTAATGTTTGGTCTGAAATTGACTTCTGAAAGTGTCCTCGAGTCTCACTCGTGACATTCATGTTTAGCCTGAAATTGACTTCTGAAAGTATCCTCGAGCCTCATTTGTGACATTTGTATTTAATCTTAGAGTGTAATGACGAGTGAGACTCATTAACCTAGTGTAAAGGATTAGGTTTTCTATTAATTTCATCTCGTGGGTCGATCACGCTACTGTCTTCCAACATGCTAGCGTCTGCAACAACCATTTTTTTGGACCTATCTTTCATAGTCTTCTAACCTCAAAGTTTTTACTTTGGCACTGACAGTTTAAGTACACTAGAACCAAAGACTTCCACATTTATTTGAAAGCGGAACAATCAGGTTTGATAACTAAGATTGAGTAGAAAACTAAATATTTCTTCCTAATTTTAAATTGAATTCGACAAATCTGCCATTTATTAATTTTTAACAAAAGGTCTAGTATTTAGCATAGTTGAGAAATAAATCATAGGGCAAGCGGTTAATCGTAGAATTTAATTAAAAGAATCTCTAACAATGCTCGCAATAAAATCAAATAACGAGTATACTCGAACGCATTCCAAATGCATCTACAATATATCCCAACGAAAACCTAAAGCAGAACGAAGAATTACATGTTTATATGAAAAAATAAATAATCGATCGTTTAAAGAATCAGCATCACTTCGATTTTAAGACCAGTTAACTGGTCAGACGCCTTTCAGCTCTAACGAAACAACTAACCGCAGTCCACTAGCCCTCATTACGAAACAATTCTTAATCCTTTATCTCCCCTGCCAGGGAATACTCTGATCGCCGTATCGGTAGCCATCGCGCGTCGTTAAGCATAATGTACCGGGTCGGTCAAAAAATCCACTGCTTCTCCTATCAGCGTTAAATCGTGCGCGTAACGATCGCACACGGTGCACTCGTTTCACGCGTATTCTTCCTTTGCGCTCTGCCGAACGGTGCTAACCACCCGATAAATATTATTATTATTATCATTATCATTATTATTGCGTGTCCTTGTCCGCTTTCCCTCGGTCCCGGGAACCGGTATACGGCGTGTAACGGTCGATGAGTCGCGACGAGCGCCGCGGCGCACGTCCGAACATGGAGATCGCGGACCAGCGGAAAGAGGATCTTGTAACGGCGATCGTTACCAGGCCGAACCAGGGAACCTGATTCGTGCGTGCGCAGAATGATCGGCTTTTACGCCGATCGTAAAGCCACCTAATTGCAGGAGACATCTTAATTAAGCGCGAGAGGCAGCCCTCTAGCCTCGGGTCGAGCGCCAGCTATTATTCCGCCCCCACCGCGCCACCCTCACGGGTTAATCTCTCGAGACTCCGCCTACGATTCAGAATTTCCGATTTCTTCGTGGATTCGTCGGTGAATCTTGAATTTATGGTTTGCTTTTATTGTTTATTTCATATTTTGTGTTCCCATCGGTACCCTCGGTAGTCGTTTGATCTATCGAAACTTCGCCGACGTTTCAGAATGTTCAATATTTTCGTGAATCTTGGATTTATGGGTAACGGAATTTAACCTTTACCACAATATTTTTTATTGTAAATATACATTGTCCTAGACGAAATATTGACAGTGTTAACTTTTTGAATGAATTAAGGGATATAACTATTTAGTTTTATATGTCATGTGCTGACATTTCGGTCAATGTTTAATATTGAATTTTTTATTTTAGTGCTTCGTTGTGATTGGATCAATGGCGACCAAGAGTCGAATGTCGAGTGTAAAGAGTTTGAGTATAAATAATAATAACATCAATAATGAATAATAATAATAAATAATAATAATAGTAATAGTAATATTAATAATAATTAATAATAATAGTATTCATACCTCTATTTTTATTTTCATTTCCATTTCCATCTCAATTTCTATTTACACCTCTACTGAAATTTCCAGAACCTCAACAGATTAAAATCAAACTGTCCATCGATAACCCATCCCTTTACTCTCAACTCTCAACTTTCCTCCTCCCAATTACACGCTCCAGACCTCTCCGCGCCGGGGCCGAACGTGTTCCCCCTCCCGCCGAGCAAAAACGGGGAGCCAAAGGAGAATTAAAAAAAGAAACGGGCGAAACGGCCACTTCGCACTCTATCCGCGGTAAAAAACTTCCTCCTCGCTGAAGGATATTTATCACTGTTCTCCCGTCCTTCGCTTTTTCCCCTGGTTCGCTGTAGAAGAACTTTTCCCACCCCCGTCCGCCGCGTTTCTCTTCGCTGGCGAACGTTCTCGCGTCCGTTATCTCGACGATATTGCTGAAATTGTTTCGGCCAAGGCTGGAGGAGGGCGGCACGGCGGGGAGAAGAGATTCATGGGCAGTTTTCTTCGCGGCGAATTTATAAAACCCATCTGCGGAACGATCGCGATCCATAAATCGCGGGCCTTATGATCGCCGGTCGTTGAACGTGGCACGCGCGCCGCCAGTAAATTTTCGAGAGCTGGCTGGCGCGTCTGAAAACGGCGAAAAACGTCGCGTAAGGAACGAACTTTAGTTTTTGGTCCTTAGGACTGTTGTCAGTGCAATTTGGTAGCGTGAATAAATAGCTTGATGTGTTAGTTATACTCCTTCGCGCTCGATTTATTGTCAACGTTGTTGGGTGTAAACTTGTATTTATTTTTCGGTAAATGAATTAAAGTAATTCACTACGGTAGAATTCAACGTTTCATATTTGTTTTATTTATTATTATTATAATCAGATTTAATCTTTATGATCTTTTACAGTGTGTACTTTTTTTAAACGAATCCTATAATAAACTTGTATTGGCATCTCGAGTGCAAATTCTCGTATTGGCATCTCGAGTGCAAATTCTCGTATTGACATACGAGTGCAAAATGTTAAGATACTATTTAGTAAACGTAGATATTACTGAATTCCTTTGAATTCTAATTAAATATTATTCTTGTGTTTATAATACTGTGGAGCAAAGGTGATGTAGAATATGCTTACAATTTTGTTCTGTTCTTCAAAAATTATTAGTGATAAAGTATATAGTTTTATTGGTCATAGTTGAGAAAGAAAAACGCTTTTTCCTAATAAATACTATTAAACGCATTACACGGTGAATGTTCCCTATATTTCTTTCATGTCGTGTTTATTTTCTGCAATATTGCATTTTTCAAGTAAGGCAGTCCTTAAAAAGCCTATTGATAGTGATCTGGTGAACACAGTACTCAGGAGTTCTCTTCTTTTATTATTTTACTGGTTTGTTGCGGTGCTTTACGCACGGAAACTGGATTATTTCATTTAATTTCATTTATTCGTTGGAAAGATATTTTATACATACAGTAGACTGTGTTATAATCGTAGTATTACAAGTGCTTAGGTAAATGCACTTAGAACTACAACAGTTATAGTACAACAGTTAACGAGATGGAAGAATTATACGAATAACGAGTAAACATTTATTTAAGTCGATTCTGCAGGAAGCCACGTAACAATTTGAAAGAAATTCTGAACTGTTGTTTAGAAAGAATAAATTACTTGATTATTTCAACCCTCTGCTCTGCAAAGGCGTCGCAACAGTGACATGCATATTTTATTAACTATTATTAATCGTTATTTCACTTGCAAAAATAATATTCTTTACAACAAAAGTTCCAATAGTAAAAGAAAAATAAACCAAATTTGTATTTTAACACAGATGCTTTCGAACTACTCTTAAAATTTGAATTATTATATAATTTCTTAGTTTCTAAAAACGATATGCTGAAAACAGCTTGGAAATATTGGTAAGTCTGAATGCCTTCCTTTCTTTCATAAAACAAAGTTTTCAACAAAATCAGTGAAAGAAACTTAAATAAAAGCAAAGACAAAAACTGATAAACTTATTACTCGGACAATATAAGAATTGACAGAAAGTTAAATGGACGAAAGAAAATACAGACTTCCGACTTTCAGTGAGAGACAACCAAAGGTTTCCAACACAGCGACAGACCGCTTTTCCTCTCGATTTTCTCGGCCGATCGGCCTGACTCCAGAAACCGGGACATGACCCAG